TTGAAGATACTTAAGCTTAGTTATGTTTTAAAAGGCTTATATGTAATAACGCTAAACAACAATTAAGTACCTCATAGTTTCACTCACTTCGCACTTACATACCCACACTTGCTTTTTGTGGTATTTATATGTCCTAAGTCATCTAAAATTTACACATTGATACCCTCTATTATGCAAACATAATTTTCACCTGAATGTTCCAATATGACGCTTACACATAATTGATCCAAGGTGTCGTATGAGAAAATTTAGGTGTAAATTTTCAAGTTTGCATAATAGAGAGTAATAATGTGCCAATTTTAAACAACTTAGTATATATAAATGCCAAGGAAATCATGAAAGAGTATATTAATGCAAAACGAGTGAAACTATAAGGTATTTAAGTGCTATTTATCCATAATATTACATGGAATTGAGAAGAAATATTTATTTCGTGAGTCTGCTTTCTATCAGAACTAACTGAACATGAGTGGTCAGTTTTGACCCTGCGATGCACTTAGTAGAGCGGTAAAATGGGAATTTGCCACCCAAATGAGTGGGCAGAACCATTTGCTTGCATGTACTCGCTTTTGATAGAATTTGTAGTCTCTAGTCAGTTACACTCTTAAAGTTCTATGGAAAGTCATGCTCCCTTACTTTTGTTGGTGGATATGGAACAGCCGCAACAACCTTATTTTTAATGATATTCAAGTCAACACTCAGCAAATAACTACTAATGTTGCAAAATACAATTTGTTCTGGTCAGGAACAACAACAAATAGAGCTTCAAGCAGATTACACAAGGCCGCCATCAACTTGGGACTGATGGATCTTGCAAAAACAGGTGCGGATGATGCAGTTGGTGATAACTTCTCGGCAGACAACTGATCCAGAAGCTCTTCAGAGTAGCGTACAGTCATAAACCCAGTTTCAGTTTCACTCTACTTGTGTTTCTGTTGTTTTTCTTTTGTGTTGGTTTTTTGTAGCTGAAAGTTCACCAGTGATACACTTAGTTTTTTTTTTCAGTTTCAGAGGTTTGGTCACGGCCTCTGCAAAGGAGATTAGTGTAGTTATGACACTTCACTAATTTCCTTTTGCAAAGACCACCAATCTCTCCCAATTTTATATGTTCTCTAACTTTTCATTTTAATGCATATATGAACAGGGTATCTCACCATGTTTTTCTCCTTCCAGAAAAAAAAGAACTACGGATGTCAAAATAAGAAAAATTTGGAGTGGCTCACCAACTCCTTCATTTATTTACTGTGGTCTTTCAATTTGGATCAGGCCCATTCGATATCAGTTAATCCATATGGGTACAAAAAAAATATCCTATGGGGCCCATCCAACATCGGTCAGTCCATACAGGTGCAAAAATAAAAATAAAAAAATTTAAAAAAATTGAAAATTACAAAAATAAAACCTCCTTATCTATATTAATTAGAATATATATAAGATTATTAAAATCTATATCCGATTAGATATTATATTTTAATAGAAAAATGACTAATTTTCATTTAGGGGCTGTTTGGTTGTATGTTTTACCATGTAAAAGGATGGAAAGTGTAAAAAAGTGGGTCCCAATGTCAGCTTTCATCACTTTCAATTGTGTAAAAAAGTGGGTCCCAATGTCAGCTTTCATCACTTTCAATTGTTTGTTTGTAGTTGTGAAAATAATGTAAAGTGATTTGTCAGCTTTCATCACTTTCAATTGTTTGTTTGTAGTTGTGAAAATAATGTAAAGTGATTTCATATGCTAATGTGGCTTGTAAAGTGATTTCATAAAAAAAAAGACATGATTTTAGGAGAAAGCTAACATTGAAGTCAAAAAATAATAATAATAATAAATAATTTCAACCAATATAATCATTTGAGTAGGTACCACTTTTTACACTTTCCAAACAAACAATTAAAGTTACATTTACAAACCAAACAAGCAATTTATGATTCTAATGGAATAAAAAACAAACAAAGAAAAGTATACTAGTGAAATTGATGAGGTAGACAACAACTTTCCAAGTTGTGTCATAAATACACAATTTTACCAACAACAACCAAACAGCCCCTTACTTAAAAGAGTTTACGGTCATTGAAAGAACAAACACAATAAATAATGGAGTGATTTAAGCACATTCCTTAGCATGCTAATGCGTGCCTCAGTTGCCTTCCTACTGACAAGAGATAGAGTAACATTGTTATTTTGTAAGCAATTGTGCTTTTTGGCTCGCGGTTCAACCGCGAGCCCTCAACTCGCACTGCGGAGTAGGGGGGCTGGGCCCCACAGCAGGGTGGGGCCCAGACACTGTAACCCCCTCTGCGAGTTGCTAGCTCGCGGTTGGTCCGCGAGCCAAAATTTATTTTCGTTTTGTAAGAGATACTTGATACCATCCGTGATTCTGCCATAAGATGTACGACAAAGAGATTAAGTAATATATTGCTTTAAACGTTACACTTGAGTAAGTTTCCACTTCCAAATGTTCGAAGAGAACGTCGGACATGGATATGTATCCGGATCCAAAATATCTGAATATATGTTGATCGTACAATTGCAATAGTTTTAATCTTTATGTTACTATATTTGAGGTTAATTTTGAGATCAAGAGATCTAATCTCAACGTTTTAGATACAACGGACATATTGATGAAGTCTCTTGTATCATGCGAATCGAATATTTTTCTCTATATTTATCATGTTTTCTCATATTCGGTTTTGTATCTGCATTTACACTCGCTTATATATCCACATGAATACCTGTATCCTTACTCGATTTTAACAAAGTTAGGTGGGAATTTCTCTTATCAAGGATTATCTGTATCCGTAGTAATATCTGTGATGATAAACAAATATGGGATACACGTGGGGTGAGCATCATATGAGGATTGCATCTAAGTCTATTCGTTTGCCTAAGAAAAGAGGAAAATCAAAGAAAATGAAACCTATTTCTAAGAAAAATAGGTTTTTGAATTGTTTGGTTGGCTAAAAAAATAAGGAAATCAAAGAAATGGAGATGAGATAAGATGAGTTGTCACATTATTATTGGATGATGTGAGTGATTTTTTAAGAAAACTAGTTTTGATGTTGTTTGGTTGGCGAAAAAAATAAGGAAATGAATTATAAGAAACCTATTTCCTGTAGTTTGTTGTTTTCTTTTGTTTGGTTCATTCTTAAAAATAAGAAATGAAATGAGATGAGATGAGTTGTCATTGTATTATTGGGTGGTTTGACCCACACTTAAGAAAAATGTTTTCACAATTTTTTGGGATGAAAACAAAGAAATAAAATGTTAATGAGATGAGGTGAATTGTTATAATATTTTATTGGATGATATGAGTGATTTGAAATGATGAGAAGAGATGAGTTGAGTGATGTTTGGATGAAAATAATATTTTATTAGATGTGATGGATGAGTTGTTAGATGAAAATAATATTTTATTAGATGTGATGGATGAATGGTTAGATGAAAATAATATTTTATTAGATAATGTGGATGAGTTGTTGAATGAAAATAATATTTTATTAGATGTTGTGGGTGTGTTTTAATCAAATAAATAGAAGAAATAGTACTTTTTAATATTTTCGCCTTTTCCATTTCCATTTCTTGATTTTTAGGAAATAACCGAACAGACCCTAAACCGATAGCCCATCCATCACCACCGTCTAAGACTCCACGCGGGCATTGTTTGGCGCGAAACCTTCCCGCCAAAAAAAGCCCTCGACCCCCTTTCGTTAAAAACCCTAGGCGGCTGTCACCACCGTCTTAGACGCCGGACTCCGACTCCACATTTCAAAAATCCCTCAACAATTCATTCATCAAATTAAAAAAAAAAGAAGAAAACCCTCAACAAACAGAAGCAGCAGCAGCCAAGATCGTCTTCTCGCATCCCGATGGCCGATCCCGAGAACCCATCGTCGTCTCCGACCTCCGCCGGGTTCAGCACCGACCGCCTCCCTCCGACGACCAACTCCTACAACTCGTCCTCCTCCGACGAAGACGAGG